GCCTTTCGGTGATAGTGATACTAATTCAAGGGCAGAAAGTGTTAGGGGAGAGGCCCATCCTAGGGTCTGGTACTCAGATGCCCCAGCTCCCTCCCACCCATCCGTACCACTGTGGCTACTCACTGTCAGGTTCCACAGGTAACTGCCAGGTAATGTTGTCTCCAAGAAACTCTTGTGAGTAGGCATAGGACTCTGGTGCAGGTCTTGGTTTCTGTAGAACTGAGGCACCCCATTCCTGGGTCAGCACAATCCTTTAGCATTTAGCATTGAGCTTGAGAACAGGTTACCCCCTCCCCCAGTCAGGTGGCACCCAGTACCCCTCAGAGCTTCTGCTCTTGGGCCTCTGCTTTTTGGAGGCCCCTCTTGGTCAGTGGCTTCTTTCCAGTAAAGAGAGTGTCTGTGGGGTTCCGATTACCTAGGAACTTACCGTAAAAGAGAGCCGTAAAAGAGATGACAATGATCAGGACCATAAATACCAGGCCGGCCAGAACAGGCCTTGACATCTTGGGGGCTGCTGGAGCCACTGCCGAGGAGTCCAGGCCTGTGGGGGAGACACCAGTGTCCAGGAGAAGAGTGCGGGCTGGGCAGAGTTAGCCCCTCAGGCTGTCTCCTGGCCTGTCTGATGGGGATGAGAACACCTGCACTTATCACGGAGAAGGGGAATGAAGCCTGGTAGAAACACAAAGGCTGGAGAAGGTGTACAGGGTACAGACCTAGCCTGGGCAGGGAGGGCAACAGAAGTGTGATTTGAATGAAAAAAGAGGGAAGGATGAAGGGAGGCAGGATGGGAAGGAGAGAGCAAGAATCCTGACCTCAGAGTCCCAGAGTCTTGCCCATGAATCCTGACCAGAGACAAGACTCACAGGTCTTTGGGGCTGCTGCCTCCTCCACAAACGGACATGGGTCAGTCCTGGAAACCCTCTGTCTGTGTCCTAAGAAGGGCTGTGCCACGGAGTCTGAGAGCTGATCCCTGAACCTCATGGGATACAGAGATGGAATTCAAAACCAGGTCCCTCGGAACTCTTAAGTTCACGCTCTCTCTTGCCAGGTTGCCATCCTTAAATAAAGGTCTGGGGATTTTATGCAGAGACTGGAGGGTGCCCTGCCTATCTGTCCTCTCCCGGCCCACCTTCTGCCATTGCCTGTTTGTTCTGGAGGCTGACATAGCGATGAGCATAGAGAGCTCTGGGCTGCCAAGAGGGGGCTGAGAAAATGGCAGAGGGCTGGGCGACAAGCAAGCCAGTGCCTGACTGAGGACAGCTGAGCCCCTAGTGTCCTCACCGTGGGGGTGCAGGGCGACAGATTGGTTGTCTCTGCGGAAGTGGGCCTTGGCAGCATTCATCTCTGCTTCCTTCCTCCTCCAGTGCTGCTCCCCGCCTCAGCCCCTGAGGCTTGTGTTGTGGGCCAGTCGTGGTGATGGGAAGGAAACTGAGATACCCTGGATTTTTATGCTCCTGACCACACCTAAACTCTGCCCTCCTCCTTCTCCCCTCCCACTGACTCTGCAGAAGTACCCCAGTAAGGCCCCTCCCCCCAGGACACCTAGGCACCAGTCTGCCCAGGCCCTATCCTCTTCCTCTTCCCAGTCCACACCAGTCCTCACCCTCTCCTTAGGCCCATCACCCCAGCATCTGTTCTCCAGCGTAGCCCCCAAACACTAGCCTCTGCCCCCAAATCAAACACTTTCACCACAATTTAGGAGGAGATTAGAGGTTCCTTCACAACTTTTTTTTTTTTTTTTTTTTTTTTTACAGAGAGGAAGGGAGAGCGATAGAGAGCTAGAAACATTGATGAGAGAGAAACATTGATCAGCCGCCTCCTGCACACCTCCCACAGGGGTTGTGCCTGCAACCAAGGTACATGCCCTTGACAGGAATCGAACCTGGGACCCTTCAGTTCATAGGCTGATGCTCTATCCACTGAACCAAACTTGTTTCAGCTCCTTCCCAGCTTTGCAGAAAAAAAATTCCTTGTGACCCATGGCTGACTTAATCTTAGCCCTAGACCCTTTCAGGGCCTCACTGTCCACTCAGGGCCTCACAGCTGGCATGGCAGGTAACGGTCTGTGGTAGAATGAAACATATAGTGGATTCTGTCCCAGTTCATGCATCAGAGCTCCTAAAGCCCATGACATTTCCTAAGTAATACGAGTGTTTTTGTTATTCAGAGCAAGCCCTTTTCAACTACCCTTGAGTTCATGCTACTAAGGTGACTAGGGGTGAACCCTTAGATAGCTTCACGGTGGGAGGTAGTCCCAGAAAGAGCAAGCTCCTACCTCTCCAATCCCACCCCAACCCATCCCACCCCACCTCCAGGTAGAAGGGGCCTTGAGACTGAGTTATAAAAGCTCACAAACAATGAGAGCGATCTGAGGAGCTTTCAAGGAGTTTTCTGGTTGGTGAACACATCCTTGTGCCAGGAGAGTATTGCTCCCCAATTCCTCAGGGACAGAGGCTCTTGTGCTCTGGGCCTTTCCTGACCACACCCTGTATATCTCTACTGCTGTTTGTTTGCAGCCTTTATCATAAACTCTCCCATCACAGGCCTCCTTGCAGGCCACCATCTCACCCACTGAAACCCAATTAGTCTTCTAACTTTAGTTCTCCCTGCCTCTATTCTTGCCTCCTTCAAATCCTGTCACCATAATGCACGTGTAATGATCTTTTCCAAAGCCAGTTAGATGCCCATGCCTGCATTACCTAGATCTCTCAGCCAAGGAGAAGCAGCATCCACATTTTGGTTTCTAGTAACATTCTCAAAAAACAAACAAACAAACAAAAAACACACACACACACAAACAAACAAAAAAGCCAGGATGTTTTGAAGAAATGTCTGATTTTAGGACTGGAGCAGGAAATCTACAAAATGATCCTGGGGTATCTTACACAGTCAGAAAGTAAAGAGATGTGGGTTTTTTTTGTGTGTTTTTTGTTTTGTTTTTTGTTGTGTGTTTTTTTTTAATGATACAAATATATCAAAAGGACACAGGAGCCGAATGAAAGAAGCTCCCAAAGCTGGAAGGACTTGAGCAAGAAAATATGTATAGTATTGCCCTAGCTGGTTTGGCTCAATGGATAGAACGTTGGCCTGCGGACTGGAAGATCCCAGGTTCGATGCCGGTCAAGGGCATGTACCTTGGTTGCGGGCACATCCCTAGTGGGGAGTGTGTAGGAGGCAGCTGATCAGTGTTTCTCTCTCATCGATGTTTCTAACTCTCTCTCCCTCTCCCTTCCTCTCTGTAAAAAATCAATAAAATATATATTTTTAAGTATAAATATAGTATTATTGGATTATAACCCAAAGTACAAAATCTATGAATTCATATATATAAATAAATTTTTGAATTAATATACAAACAGATAAATCTCCCATACAGAAAGATTACATATCATTTCTTAGATACGCAATCATCCTTAAGTGTGGGCTCACACAGTGACTGCAATGGTCTGTTTGTGTTCCCTCCAAATTCATATGCTGAAATCCTAACCATCTATTTGGTAGCATTAGGAAGTGGGGCCTCTGGGAGGCGATGAGGACATGAGGGTGGTATTCTCATAAAGGGGATTTGTGCCCTTATATTATACCATGTGAGGTCATAACAAGAAGTTTATGGCCTGGAAGATAGCCCATTTCATTGAAGAAATAAGCCCCCCACCCTTGCCCCTGTAGGACTCTGTTCTCCTTCCTGCTTCCACTCTCCTCCCCTCCTGCTGGTGCTGCCTGATTCCTGCCTCAGCCACTGGGCTGAGATTGGAACCCAATTCCTGTGAATGGGGTTCTGGGAAGAACAGGAAACTTGAGGAGTTTTCCCCTTGAGAGTAAAACCAGAGAATAGAAGACGTTCCAGTGAACATCTGAGAGGAAAGACCACCAAGAAAGTCAAGACACTGCAGACCACCCTGGCCGGTGTGGCTTAGTTGGTTAAGGGCTGTCCTGTGCACCAAAAGGTTACTGGTTCGATTCCTGGTCAAGGCACATACCCAGGCTGCAGACTCAATTCCCAGGAGGTACCCAATCAATGTTTCTCTCTCTCCCTCTCTCATCCTCTTTCTCTAAAAAAAAAAAAAAAAAAAAAAAAAAAAACCAAACAAATAAACAAACAACACAACACAACAATAAAAACATATTGTTTTAAAGAAACAGACACTGGAGACCTCACTCCCCTTCACTTTGATAAAACCAGGGATAAGCATTGGTCTTATTCTGTGGGATAGCTCTACTCCTTGGTAATTCTGAACCTTCACTGGTTCCTGAGGACATCCTAGAACTTCACGTCTAGCAAAGCAGATGGCCTTTTCTGCACATTCACCTGTACACCCAGGAATGAAACATGCACACAGAGAGAGGCCGTTACCCAGGCAGCATTTTATTCTATTGAAGCTTGGAGGTGAACTCTTCAGGTACTGAGGGCCACTTCCTTTGCATGTGAAGCCAGGAAATGCAGAAGAAAGAGGAGGTGCAGGACATGAGGTGAGCAGAGAGCCTCGGAGTTTACTGAGTGAGGGGGACAGAAAGGACCACCCGATGCTGGTCCAGTTCTAAAAGAAACATGTCTCCATGTCAACCCCTGATCTGAACCAGTTGAACCTGTCCCAGGGAAGAAGGGGTTCAGACCGCAGAGGTTGCCGGTGAAGAGGATGATGGGGCCATGGCATGGACAGGATCCCCAACAGCAGAGTCTTCCCAAAGAACACGGCCATCTACGCAGGGAATTTTGGGAATTATTGGAAAACTGCTGGGTATCAGTAGCAGACGAATTGGGTGAGCATCTGAAGCAGCTTTCATGTGATGAAGCTGAGTCTTCTCTGAAGGGACTCAATTATCTTTCAATGGCTCTCTCTGCCTCTACTCTGACCTCCCTCAAGTCTTGTCACCCTATTGCAGGCATAATACTTTTTTCAAAAAATAACTAGGTGTGCAGGTGGACACACACAGTACCTAGCTCAGCCAGGAAGAAGCAGCAACACTCCAAATTCAGCGGCACCCAGATCTTGGCAAAACCCCAGGGTATGCCCCGAATTAAAGGTCCCGATCCATCCAATAAGGCAGTTTGAATTTCTAAATCTTCTCCACCAACCCTTCCCATTTCAACTCAATATCTTTCCAGTCCACCTGCTTCTATGGAGTTGAAAACTTCCAGCCAAGGCAGATGGACTCCAGGTGCATATGGGACACTTTTGAAGCAAGGAAAGTTAAGGTGCAAAGTCACCTTGGAGTGTGGAGGATGAATGGCACTTCCTTGAGTCTGGAAAAGCACTGAGGCTCAAAGTGCCAGCGTGGGGGCCAGTCTGTCATTGTTCAGATGGAATATAGTGACGTTTACAGATGAAAAGGAGCTGATGGTCACAGGAGGCATCATTCCATGACTGAAGTGAGGACATCTTTAAATTGACACAGTGTTCATTGTTCCCAAGATTGTTGGGCTCACCTGGACTCCAGAACCTGTCAAAAAAAAAAAAAAAAAAAAGAAAAATGTATTTCCAATGAAGAAAGGAGTAACTTCAATCCAAGAGTTGGTCCCAGGTGATAATGTCACAAGTTTTTGCACCCAGGCCTGAGAGGAAGGGAATGAGTGAGCTGTCAATCTCTAAGCCTGCTATCATCTCAGATTAGGATTGAACCGGCCCACCTCTCTCATAACTCCACACAAACCACACTAGGACACCTAGATGTAGGCCAGGCCCCCTGCCAAAGCTGGCTGGACAGCCATGCTGCCAAACCCCAGAGGGTACAGAGAGGCCAAAGATATGTCCCACCCCCACAGTCAATTAGTGACAGAAGTGAGCTGGATTTTGGTTCAATGCTCTAGGCACCAGTGGACAGGGAAGAATCACAAACGCTATAGTCAGAGGGAATATTCTCCCAGGCTTCTGCCCTGGCCCTGATTCAAACAAAAGTCAGGCTGGGAAGGAGGGTTCTGGGGGCCTTACTTCATACTCTGGACCTTGTTGAATGGAGTGTTATCCACCCAGTACCATTCCCCTTCACTCCCTGCTTTGGTCAGGCCAATCCAGAAGAAAATCCCGCCTGCTGTCTTGTACAGAAACTCCTGTAGGGAAGACAGAATGAGAAGAGATGCCGCTATCACTCGGAGTTAGAGCACCTGACACTGGGTATTCTTCTCCTGTCCTCAGTGACAGCCCCTGAACCCACAGACACCTGCATACTGACCTTTCTCAAGCTTCTTCCTGTCTCTGCTCAGAGCCCAGAGTCCATCTTCCTAATTGTTTGTCTTTGCCCTGCAACTAACAGACTCAGGACTCAGGCCTTTCTGACCCTCAGGAAGCTGGTGCTAGAGCACAAGAAAGAATCAACTGAACTCCAGAATAGGGACCCTAGGAGACTGGCCCATATAATGATACCTAAATTTAGTGAGCACTTCATATGTACAAGGTACTAAACATTTATATGCATTTACTTGAGTATTGTTGTTTGTTTGAGGCAAGTACTATTATTACTTGTGTTTCATCTGAGACTAGTTAGAGGCAAGATTGGGACTCTAGACTCTGACCCCAGGACCATACTCTTATCTACACTACTACCACACCTTCCAAATGGAAGGGGTTCGATTTCCTGCCTCACCAGGTAGAAGACTTCTTGGGTTCTGTGGTGTCAATAATGCTGTTTACAAATATTTCTGTCTTCTGGGCATCCAGAAAGATGGTTCCTTCCTACCCTTTTTGAAGCTAGGAGTATTACATAATTTGCTTTACAATGAAAATGTGAGTAGAGATGTGTTAATTCCAGGCAAAGCCAATACACAATTTGTCATGTTTCCTTTTCCTGCCTCAGCAATTGTAGAAACATACGTGAGATGAAGTCTCCTTGAGTAATCACAATGAGCAAAACCTCTTGTAGGCCCTTGTTGGACATGTAGTGTGAGAAGTAATTCTTCATTGTTAGGTCACTGATATTTGGGGATTTTTGTCATGGCAGCATAATCTTGCCCATCCTACCTAACACAGCTACTAATATACCTCTAGTAGAAACAACACTCACCTGCTCACTGTCTGAGGTCACTGAGGTCAGGTCTGAATTCCTGGACTTGCAGAACTGCTGGGCGCTGTACCAGGTCTTTGGGACATGAGAAAAGTAATAGAAGTTCTCTTTGAAGTACTTCCAGCCTTGAGAAACCATCTGTAGAATGTCATCTGGAGAACAGGGTGAGAGGTGAACACTGGTGTTCCTATTTCTCTGGGTGCTGGCTAGGTGGGGACACTTAAATTGGATTCCAGAGATAGCAATGAATGGGGCTGGGCTCTAGGATCCTTTAGTCCTTGTTTAGGTATTTGGGGTCAATCCTTCAGATCCTAAAAGTCTGACTGAGGTTAGTAAAGTCTCTGGGCTCAGAGAAGGCAAGTGAGAGAGAATGTTTCTCACGAGATAGAAGCAATTCTCCATTGGCCATCAAGTGGCTGAGACCCTGAGCTCTAGGTAAGAAACATAATGGAAAATAGCTGGGTTTGGGCTGGGACAGAGACTCCCGAATGCCATCTTCTGTGCCTTTGTGTGGAAGCCCAAGTTGGTCCTGGTTCCTTTTCTCCTGAAAAGCCCCTAAGTCCTCCCCAACCCCAATGCTGAGCCCTCTCTTCTTAGCTTTGCAGCCATGTCTATCCTGCTCCTCTTCTGCTTCTGTCCACACACACCAGCCCCAATGGCCTCAGGCTTGAGACCAGCAAGGTCCCATGGGCCACAGATCAGCTTGCAATATTATTTTCTCAGTCACTTACTTTGCTTTTTGAGTAACTTGCTGATGTTCTCCAAACTGCTCTGGAGTCCTCGAACCTTTACATTTAATGTGCTGGCTTTATCCAAATCTCTTTTTAATTCTGGGATCTGGGCATTTAAACTGTCGACTTCCTCCCAACTTGTTGTTAACATCTGGATCTGTGTATTGGCTGCCCTCACACCAGTTTCCAGCCTCCGGATCTGAGAACGCACATGATCCAGGCTAGCATTCACCATCTGGACCTGAATGCCAGTTGCCTTCACGCCAACTCTATTCCTCTTAATTTCAGAACTCAGGGTGCTGATGTTGTCCACACGACCTTTCAGTAACTGGGCATTGGTCTTTACATCTGATAGTGTGCCCATAAACCAGGGATCTGGATTTGAGAAAGTCAAGAGGTCAGTCAAAGGGATTCCTAGGGATGGGGGGGGGGGGGGGGGGCGCTGTTACCAGAGTGATAAAAGGAAGGGAAGAGATGGGCTAGAGTTTCCCAAGGACCCAACCCAAGGGGCTGTTGTTTATCCTACGTTCATTCCTAATCTAGTTACTTAACAAACAACTGATGGCACCTACCATGTGCCAGGAACTGTGGTAGCTGTGAGTAATGCAAAGATTGATAAACATGGGCTCTCTATTAGAAGATCTCACAGGCGACAGAACCAGGAATTATAACCCAGTTCTAAATTTTCTTTAAGTGTTCAGAGCACATTTGGTAATGTGGTGCCCTCAACTACGCCTTTGGCCCCCTCCCTACAAGCCTCTGTGCCCTATCACTTGATTCCCAGCCTCTCCTTCCAAAGACTCCTGCAATGGCCATCAGCGAGGGCAGCTCCACCCCTCCCACATCTGTCCACAGGCTCTTTGTGACCATGAGAAGAGCCAGCCATGCACACTTCTAACTTGGAAGTGACTTCTCCAGAGAAAACAGAAAGAGAGAATTATGAAACCATTTACCCACTTCTCTTTATCCTTCCCATTGTCACACTCTGATTAGGTCAGAGGTTTGGTGCCAGAGAGGAGACCAAAAGTAAACCAAGAGTGCCTGGCCAGTGTAGCTCAGCGGCTGAGCATCGGCCTATGAACCAGGAGGTCACAATTCGATTCCTGGTAAGGGCATATGCCCAGGTTGTGAGTGCAATCCCCAGTGTGGGGTGTGCAGGAGGCAGCTGATTAATGATTCTCTCTCATCACTGATGTTTCCATCTCTCTCTCTCTCTCCCTTCCTTCCTGAAACTAATAAAATATATTTCTTTTAAAACCTCACAAAAGTAAGCCAAGAGGCCTCCAAGCAGAAGAGACTCTGCTCAGAGGCTCCAAGTCTAAGATAAAATATGTCCCAAAGCCACAAAAGGAGAAGACAGATGTCCCCTTCCTCTGCTTGCTGGTGAAAGAGAAAGGCTCTGCCAGCTGCAAAAGCCATGGGCCTCAGCTGGCAGAAGAAGAAAGATAAGCCACACATCCAATGAAGAAGTAGGAAGGCTCCCTTGACATGATCTTCATGGGAACAGGAGAATGAAGAGAGCCCAAAGGGGTTCTTGGGAGGGGAAGAATCCTGGAGATTTGTTGACTTCCTGGTCAAGTTATCCTTCTAGTCATCTGGGGTTGAGTATACAGTTGGGATTCCATCTCTTGTGGAGTCGGAAACATCTTACTCACTGTTGGGACTTCCCACAAAGCTCTCTCTGGATCGAAGGGACATAGAGCTCAGAGAGGGAGGAGAAAAATGACATGGGATAAAGAAATAGATGAATTGCACTGGCTGGTTTTGCTCAGTGGATAGAGCATTGGTCTGTAGACTGAGGGGTCCCAAGTTTGATTCCGGCCAAGGGCACATGCTCTGATTGTGGGCTCAATCTCTCATCATTGATGTTTCTACCTCTATCCCTCTCCCTACCTCTCTGAAATCAATAAAGAAATATATAGTGAAAAGAGCCGAAACCGGTTTGGCTCAGTGGATAGAGCGTCGGCCTGCAGACTGAAAGGTCTTGGGTTCAATTCCAGTCAAGGGCATGTACCTTGGTTGTGGGCACATCCCCAGTAGGGGGAGTGCAGGAGGCAGCTGATCGATGTTTCTCTCTCATCAATGTTTCTAACTCTCTATCCTTCTCTCTTCCTCTCTGTAAAAAATCAATAAAATATAGTAAAAAAAAAAAAAAAAAAAAAAAAAAAAAAGAAGAAGAAATATATAGTGAAAAGAAAAGAAAAAGAAATAGGTGAATGTTTCCTTAGAACAAAGAGTATATCTTTGAGCACAAGCATGCAAGTGCTGATCCCATTCAGAAAAATCTCCCAGGAATTGGGAAAGAAAGAGCAGCAGTTCATTTTATTGAGGACCATGTGAATGCACAAGGAAAGAGGCAAATGAAACGAGGCAAATGAAAAAGCCACAGGCAGGAGAGACCACTGGAGAGCAGGAAAGAGAGGGCTGGATGTTGTGGAAGCTGACTGGCCCTGGAGAAGGAGCTGGCCACATGATGAAGCCAGAGGACTTACAGAGAACAGCCTGCAGCACGACAGAGGTGAGAAGGACCAGTGTCAGGATGATGAAGGCAGCACGAACTGTGCAAAGTTTCCTCAGAACTGGAGACGAATCCATCTTGGGAGGAGGCTCTGTTGGAAGAGAAGACATTTGTTGTAGGGCCAGCAAACTCGGGTTTAGGCAGAGAGCATTGAGCGGGTTCTGAGTAGGGACTGGTGCTTGCCTCGGGGCCAGAGGGAGATGTTCTGTTTATCTACAGAGAAGTGAGCATCGGGGATCTCACTCTCTGCAGCCTTCATCCTGCACTCTTACCCCTGCAAACAGGTGCTTCTGGCCAGCTCTCTCACCAAGGAACTTTTATCTGGAAGAAAAGGGAAGTGAGTCCCACAAAGGATCACCAGGTAATCCCCAAGTTCCCCATTCCTGACTTAGAAACCTTGCCTGGTCTATGTCACATTTTCGGGCTTTCCTCAAAGGTCTGAACTTCCAGAAAGAGGTTATTTGTCTCCTTCTTTTTTGGGGGGGTGTGGGGGGGGGGGAGAGTCTGTTACTTGGATACCTTAACCATCTTGTCCCAAGGCTATCCTACTTCTTTAATCCCCCTCATCCATCATTTATCCACCCGCCCATTCATCCCACAAATGCATATTGACTGCCTTCTAAGTACCAGGCACTGTACTAGGGCTGAGCCACAAAGATGAGTAACTCAGAGTATTTGCACTCAAGCACTTCACAGACTGAAAGGAAAGACAGACCCAAGCAAATAATTTACAATACAGGGTAATGATTATAACAATAGAAGCATATGCATGATTGAAAGGAAGTACAGAGAATGGAGTAAAGGTAAAAAGTTCCAGGTAGAGGGACTGACATATTTAAAAATATAGGGGCATAAGACAGCATGGAATGTCAGGCCAACTGTAAGCTTATGACAGTAAAGTGTGTAAAGTATATGACAGGAGCAGAGAGGGTGCGGGGCTAAAGAGACACCTAGGGTCAGGTCATGAAGATCCATATGGATTATGTTAAGAAGCTTGGACTCTGACTTAGGGTGATATGGAGCCAATGACTTCAGGCAGGAGAGAGAGACAAGGATGAGAACATTGTAAAACAATTACTCTGATAGTGGTGAGAAACATAGATTAAGGTGTGAAAATCCTGGAAGCAGAGACCAATAAGAAAACCATTGTGGGATGCCCAGGACCAAAGCAGAGAGGGCTGGACCTGCATTACCATCATTTTTCCACTATCCAGAACTGAAATATCGTTGCTAATATGTACACATAAGGAACTGTTTGACACTGAAATTGGGTCTCAAAAGAACTGTTGACCTAGAAAGAAACTCACTACAGACTGATTTATATGCCTTTTAGCATAACGATTATTGCTTGTCTCATTTTTAATCCTTGTAAGTATATTTCCAGTAGGACATGATCTCACTCATCTAGGGGAAATAGTGAACAACATAGACTGATGAAAAGAACAGACCCAGAGATAAGGAGCTATGTCAGACTGTTGGACCTCAAAGGGAGGGTGGGATAAAAGGGAGAGATCAACCAAAGGAGTTATGTGCGTACATATGAGCTTAACCAGTGGTCAAGGACACTAGGGGGTTGGGACATGAATGGGGGGTTGAGGACAAATATGTGATACCTTAATCAATAAAGAATTTAAAAAAAGAAAGAAAGAAAGGAAGGAAGGAAGGAAGGAAGGAAGGAAGGAAGGAAGGAAGGAAGGAAGGAAGGAAGAAAGAAAGAAAGAAAGAAAGAAAGAAAGAAAGAAAGAAAGAAAGAAAGAAAGAAAGAAAGAAAGAGAAAACCATTGTGGCCCTAACTGGTTCGGCTCAGTTAATAGAGCGTCGGCCTGTGGACTGCAAGGTCCCGGGTTCGATTCTGATCAAGGGCATGTAGGGGATGTGCCCACAGCCAACGTACATGCCCTTGACTGGAATCAAACCCGGGACCTTTCAGTCCGCAGACCGACGCTCTACCATTGAGCCAAACCGGTTTTGGCAGCTTATCGACATTTCTCTCTCATCAGTGTTTCTAACTCTCTATCCCTCTCCCTTTCTCTCTGTTAAAAAATCAACAAAATATATTTTTAAAAGAAAACCATTGTGATAAAATATTATAATTATTAAGGCATCTTAGATGATACAGTATTTCTTTATCAAATGGAAGCTTCTCATCTTTTGAAGAAGTCTGCCAAATCTGAGAAACCTCATACATAACAGATTCTAAACATATATTTCTTGGAAGGTAGGAAAGAGATGAAGGAAGAAAAGAAGGGAAAGAGTGTAGGAAAAAGAAAAGGAAGTCAGTCCAGATAATTACATGGATGAATGGATGGAATGGATGAATAGGTGGGTGGATGGATGTACCCATCCATTGATTATGGGTCCTTGAAAAACAAATGAATGGAAGAACTGATGGCTGATTATTTCTCAAGTCTGAAACCTAAAGTCTGTGGACTAGGATCTGTCTTCCAGAAGTTACTGCTTCTTCCCACTGCCTTCGGAAATCCTCATTCATTACCACAGCAAAGGCATGAATGAAGGATGATTGACACCTTACCCAAAGTGCAAAACAATTCTGGCCATAGGACTAGAAAGCTAGCCCAGCCTTGTTGAAGCTGAGCAAGTGAAGCCAGATGGCAAAGTGGTGTCAGGGACTGGAGTTGGAAGCTAAATGAGTGGGGAGTGTGTGTGTGTGGGGGGGGGTGGTTCTACATGTTCAGGGGATAATTGAGAGGATCTAACCTCCCTGCTCAGCCTTATCTGGCTAGCCCATTGTTCTTACAGGCCCTCCCCGCTCTCTCTCTGGCTGCCTAGCCTCAGACTGGAGCCGCTTCTCTGAATAAGGAAACTCCACACCACACTTTGTGGAGTGTGGTGTGGAGTGCTGAGAAGGAAGCTGGGTCACAAGGATGGTAGGATTCATCCTCTTTCGTTTCCTCTCCACCCACATTCTGTCTGTAGCTTCCAGGACTTCTATCTGTTCTAACCTTTGACTTTAGCTAATCGCACAAACTGAAGGCCTCACGCTAACTCACTGCCTGTCTCTGCACAGTTATAACTATACCCGTTTTCTACAGGCTGCTATCTAGCTGCAGAGCCTTGGTTCAATGGTTAGAATGCTCTGCTCCTGGACTCTCATGCTTGGCACCCAGTCTAACCCTGGATTCAACTCAGCCCTTCTGCTCCTGGCTCCTGGCCCTAGATTCACAACGACATTTACAATTCAGGGCCCCGGGTTAGGGAAAGAATCCAAGTTACACAAGATTGTGTTAGAAGGAACCCTTGGGGCCCAGGTCTCCTCCTGAGGCATTTGAGAGAGAAGCTGAGACACAACACAACTTGGGAGCATCTGGCCCCTCCCTTCTCTGCCAAAAAGTTTACTTTTCCCAAATCTTTGCTGGTTGGTGGCATGAGCCATTAATGGCACATTCACGTGCCCGCTCAGTGGTCCCAGGAAAGGATCCAGAGCTTCAACATGCCGGCACCCAGTAGAAGAAGGGGAATGAGGTAGGGGAGCATTTACTCGCGTGATAGACATGGAAGCTTCAAATAGGTAGTCTACTGATCACTGGACAGAAGGCTGATCCAGCAGGAGGAAGTTAAACACGAAGCAACCAGAATCCTGGGCTGTGGGTCCTGGGGGACTTCAGAGGCAATGGGTGGAAAAGTCCCATACAGAGTTTCATTTCCCACTTGCAGAGAAAGAGTGTGTCACATGCTATTTTCCATCCGCTGGTATCCACTGAGCACGAGCACCTCTCCCTCGCAGCCCTCTGGTGCTCCACCGGGCCCTGCCCTGAAGGCCGGGAAGGAGGAAGGACGGAGCAGGAGACAAGTGCTCAACCATGCTTTGTAACCAGAGATGTGGGCAGTTCTCCTGGACACTCCGGAGATGCCATAACTTCCAAACAGAGGAAGAAGTTGGGGCTAGACCAGGAGTGACCAAAAATCACTGCTGTCATGAAAGAAAAGGAAGTCCAATTTCATTTTCTGTTTCCCCACTGGCCATGGTCATTCATAAAATGTATGTAAAGGAATGGATAAGCAAAATGTGATATGTACAAACAATGGAATATTATTCAGCCTTAAGAATGAAGATAATTTTGATAAATCTTGAGAACATCGTTCTAAGTGATGTAAGTCATAAAAGGACAGTACTGTATGATTCCATATACACTGAGTGGCCAGATTATTATGACCACCTGACATTTGTAGGCAAATTAGCTGTACACATATAATCCCATATTGTATAGGATATGGAAGCCAAAGACCTGTTCAAACACCTTTGCTGTCTGCAGTTACCAAGATAAAATATCTCCAATTTGCACAGGAACACAAGGATTGGAAAAAAGTCATGTGGTTCGATGAATCACATTTCCAGTTGCATCATGCAGATGGCAGAGCGAGAATTTGGCGGAAACATCATGTAAGCATGCACCCCACATTTATTAGTACAATCCTTTAAGCTGGTGGGGGCAGTGTTAAAAAAATTTAAAATGTTTTCCTGGTGTGATTTGGGTCCTTTAATTCATGTGGAACAATGTCTGAATAGCACAACATACCTAAGTATCGTTGCTGATCAAGTTCATCCTATCATGTTGATGGTGTATCCCAATGGAGATGGCTTCTTCCAACAAGACAATGAGCCAGGCCACGGTGCTCATATTGTGCAGGAGTGGTTTCAAGAACACGAGGGAGACTTTACCTTGCTTAGGTGGCCCCCACCATCACCAGATCTCAATCCAATTGAGCATTTGTGGGACGAAGTTAAAAGAGCCATCGGGCAGCTGGTTCCACAACCATCAATTCTCACAGAACTGGACAGTGCTATTCATCAGGCATGGTGTCAGATTCCTCGCATCACCTTTCAACATCTCATGGAGTCAATGCCAAGAAGAATCGCCGCAGTATTGAAGGCAAAAGGTGGCCCAATGAAGTACTGATGGGGTGGTCATAATAACCTGGCCACTCAGTGTATATGAGGTGTGTAGAGTGGTAAAATTCACAGAAATTGAAAGCATAATGGTTGTTATCAGGGGTTGGGAGGAGAAAAAAGGAGAAGTTTAATGGGCATAGAGTTTCAGTTTCTAAGACAAAAATACTTCTGAATATGAATGGTGGTGGTGGTTGCACAACAAAATGAATGTAACTCAATGTCAATGAGCTGAAAATAGCTAAGATAGTAATTTTTGTGTATATTTTACTATACATTTTTAAAAATTGTTATTGAAGGAATTAAAATATCTAATACAATTATTTCCTCAAGCAATAATTTAAAATTTTTAAATATTCATTTTATAGGTGAAGCAATGGAGAGCATCATCAGCTGCTAAAGTATGCAT